GGTTGTTAACCAATGTCATAAAACAGCATGTGTGCTACTGTTATATGAGAAACTATCTGTTCTGTAAGCCTTCACCTGAAGTACAATAAAATATTAAAAAAAAAAAAAGAGTGGTCGTTATGCATCTATTTTACCAAAATGGAGGAGGGATGAGAACCTAGGCTGAGTTCACGTTAAAGTGGAAGACCTAAAAAGAACTGAAGAGAAAGTCATAAAATCTGAAACCAACTGTAGTGCCTTGCTGAACTTGAAGGAAATGTAAGAGAAGAGAGCTATGTGCTGAGAACATTATCTTGTGTGGTACCCATAGTTAGGGACTTAGACTAGGATCCAGGAAAGCAAGAAAAAAATAATAATTCATATAAGTGCCTGGATGGTGAACACTCAACTACAAGCCAAAAGTTTGGCAGTTCGAACCCACCTAGAGGTGCCTTGGAAGACAGGCCTGGCAATCTGCTTCTGAGAGATCACAGCCTTGAAAACTCTATGGAGCAATTCTACTCTGCAGACATCCAGGCCACCATAAGTCAGAACTGACTCAATGGCAACTAACAACAACAGTAGCTATATATACCGGGTAGGTAGGGTAACCAAAAAGCCAAAAAAAAGAGAAACTCTCAAGAGGTGGCATGTGGGTGTTATGTGTATAGAGGCTAAGAAAAATGTCATTAGCTTTCTTGAGGAGATCATTGGACACCTTTAAAGAGTGCTTCCAGTAGATCTACAGGGGCTGAATCCAAATTAAGAGAGACTGAGAAAGAATAGGTAATTGGGAAGTGAATGCAGCTGGTACAGACCACTGGGTTAGGAAGATGAGAAGCTGGATACAAGATGTTACAGAGGAAAGTGTCAGGGAAGCCATAGATAACACAGAAAGAATTCTTGAATTTTAAATGGAGATTGAACACAGATAATTGAAAATCTCAAGTAAAACTGCTCTCCTTTCCAATGACTATTTCTACCGACTTGACTATCATCACTGTGAGAAAACTGAGACATGTAAATGAATCAGAGCCGAATGGTATCCGTTTTTGCTAATATACAGTTCGTTTTAAAAATTGAGACATGGATTCTTGTATATACAAAATATTTTCAAACCTTTGATAGTAAAACACTGTTCTTGAGAAGTTAATGTCTAAAGTTTTTGATAATCATTTATATTGCCCATATGTAGGGTCATACCAAAAAAAAATGTTTTCTTAAAAAAAATAATTATATGTTTTATATCTGAATAGGTTCCTCAAGATGAATGGTCAGGGTACACTCCTCGCGGTAAAGACGATGAAATTCCATGCCGAAGAATGCGGAGCGGCAGCTACATCAAGGCCATGGGGGATGAAGACAGTGGTGACTCAGACACAAGTCCCAAGCCTTCTCCCAAAGTTGCAGCACGAAGAGAAAGCTATCTCAAGGCTACTCAGCCATCCCTTACAGAACTCACCACACTCAAGTAAGTGGTCCTAATGGTAACTCAGTGTAACTCTGAGCCTGACTTTATATAATTCAGTACCTTCAAAGCCCATGGACATGCAGGTATACTCTGCATAGACCATAAGCTAAAACCAGCAACCTCCAAGAAGGGTTTGAAACAATCCAGAATGACTTCTGAAAAGAAATGAAATTTCTGGTCAATGAGATGTATCTCTATCCGTGAACATTTGTTCAGCCAAAAAATCCTCAGGGAAAATCTTTTAAAAGCCCTTGAATTTTTCAGATAATTGAGTAGTAAAGTATTATCTTGGAGAAACAATTTGTGCTTGAAAGTTGGATGTTATGTTAAGATTTGTGATATGCGTTTTTAAATTTGGGCACTCGATACATATTAAAATTTTGTAAGGCCTTAAAAATGGTTTCTTGTCTTGAAAAATATCCTTATAAGTAGTACTTACCTCCATTTGTGCTATTTGCCAATGGACAGCAGTATTACAAATGAAACTACGAAAACTGATTGTTATAATCAAGGCCTGGTTAATATTATTTACAGAGAGAAAATCAGAACCTTAGAACATACCATGTAGATCTAGAACTAGGATTCCATTAGGACCTGGAAAATATACTACGAATAATTAGTATTTTAAAAGCACTTTTGATTCCATATTTTGAATAAATATATATTACTAATCATACATTTATAGTGCATTGTAAAATATTGAAAAAACAAAACTAATTTAAAAAAGACTAAAGCAGTCAGAGTAAGAAACACAAACCAGATTATTAACTAAGAACGCTGAAAAATAGCTGACCATTCTATTAATGGGAACTTATTTAAATAGCAGAGAACATTTTATTTTAGAGAAGTGGGTAAGGAGAGTCCTCTCATGACTTTTTTTCAAGGGATCATGTGGAACTACCCTGGATAATTTTAATCAAAATTTAATACCAATGACATTAGAAAACCAATACAAGAAAAGAAGCTCTTCTCCTTTCCTTGCCTTCTAGTTTCATCCCCTGCCTTTCCTCTTTGCCTTTATTACTGCCACACAAGGTAAAAGTTGATCATAGAAATAGAAAATAGAAGCAGGTCTTTATTGCACCATGTATTTCTTCGGCACACCTAGCAGAGACTCAGAAAATTAAATATACCCAGTTGGAAAATAACAGGATTTGTAATAAAAGCAGTAGGCCAAGGTGTGAAATGAGGGCAACCAAAAACTCTTCTGGCAAATATCTTGTATTGACCCGAAAATATCTCTCTACTAAAAATCAAAAACCAAACTTTTTGCTGTTGAGTTGATTCCAATTCATAGCGACCCTATAGGACAGAGTAGAACGGCCCCATAGGCTTTCCAAGGAGCAGCTGGTGGATTCAAACTGCTGCCTTTCGGTTAGCAGCCGTAGTTCTCAACCACTGTGCCACCGGGGGTCCATCTCTCCACTAGAGACCATAATAGTAGTCACAGCCATGGTAATAATTGGCATCTTCTAGAAGAAGAAAAAAGGGATGGTTTGGGTAAGAAAGTCACTCAGACTTTCAAAGTCTCAGTTTCCTTATATGTAAAACAAGCAGTGGGCCTCCACCACCTCTAGAGTCCCTTCCACTTCTTAGTACCTGTTAGCTTCTCATCAGGATACCTTCATCACATTAGCTGAGAGACACTCTGCATCTTGGGTGATGAGATAAAGTGAGCGCTGCTGCTCACCATAATACCTAGTAATGCCTAAAAAGAGCAGAGCCCTCAGGAACGTCCTGGGCAAAGGGAGTACTCTGAAGGAGGCTGAGGACAGGGGCAAGTACTAAAGTCCTCGTTCACACTGTGCCCTGGGCTTGCTCTCTCATAGCTTTAGGTGTGTGGGGAATCTGCCCTGAAGTCGCTGGAACTCTTACTTTTTTATTTACCTTCTACATAGTATTCTCTTCCTCTAATGTCCTGGAACCACAATTTTATAACTGTTATATATTTATTTTACTGCTCAGAAGTTTTAAGAGCAGGAAGAGATAAATATACAGATAATGAATAAGCTAATGGTGGAGCAGGTCAGGTACAGCAGACAGTGAAACCATCGAGCTGAGTAGAAGAGTTAACTGGCCCAAGTCCATTGTTGTTGAGTCGATTCCGATTCATAGAGACCCTATAGGACAGAGTAGAACTGCCCCCTAGGACTTCCAAGGCTGTAAACCTTTATGGAAGCAGACTGCCACATCTTTCTCCCATGGAGTGGCTGGTGGGTTCAAATCGCTGACCTTTAGGTTTAACCACTGCACCACCAGGGATCCTTGTAGAAGAGTTAGGGACTGCTATTTTCTTTCTCAAAACCTACGCAAATTCCAAATGGTAACCAATGTATTAGAGGACACCTAGTGAATTGGAACACATGCTTCTTTACTTAAGACAATGTTTCACCAAATCATCCTTGTTGCCCCCTATTCTTTAGCAGGCAAAATACCATCTGACCACCATTCAGCCATGTATTTCTTCACTTTCCCAAGACTTATTTCTCATTCATTTCCATTCATTTCCTCCTCACCTCTTTCATGAATTCCATTTATCACTGCTATTTACATAGTAAGCTTCCCTCATACTCAACTATATATGATTATCAGTGACTTCCAGTCTAATGAGCATCTAATGAGGTATACTGAAAGTCATATACACCATGAAAGCAAAAATTCTTACATGGCATGACTCATAATAAATTCTTTCTTATTCCTTGATGATGTTTTGACTGGAGATCATTATTTCTCTAGAAGTTTGAAACGTTCGATTCCTTATGAGAAAAAGATCCCCATATCTTGGAATTCTAGTTCCCCAAAAAAGAAAACTATATTTATGTTCCTACTTCTGTGACATTTAAGTCAATTTTTTTGCTCCTTCCTCCTCAGCAATTCACAGCTTTAGGAATGAATCATAGCCACGAACCAAGATAACTAAAATTAGTTAAGTGAGATTGAGGCAACATTTTATTTGAGGTTTCGACTTCCATCTTCTCTCAGAAATGTTGGAGAAAAGGCACTCCTACACTTTCTCACGTTGTTTTTCTTTTCTCATTTTCTGCTTTCCAAAGCATTTCAAGGGTTTTAATTTATGAGGGTGGTTTTGATGAGCTGCCCAGTGTCAGTGATTGGGTCTTCAGGTAGCTAAAGCTTGAGGTCAGTTCAGCATCATTGAGTCAGGAGAAGTCTTGGCACAATGAAGTCTGTGTTTGCGCTGCAAAACTCCTCCTATAGCTACTCTCTGAGGACCTGTTATTTCTCTCTTGTCTGTTTCCATAGCAGTTAACAAATTCCTTTATCTCACAACTAGCTTTTCCTGCTGCCTTAGATATTAGCCACTAATGAATATGAAATGGCATATCACTCAAGAATATTGGCATTTTCAAAAACAAACTGAATGCTTAATCATAAGTGTTGAGGCAAGTAGGAGAGAGGTTGAGCTTGGCACTGTCGCCACAGCTTGGCACTGCTGAAGTACTTAACCGTTTTACTTAGATTTGCTATAATAAGCTACTTATTCTAGAACTGAGACTACTGCCTGCTGCCATGGTTAGTAAGACCATGTCCAAATCTCATCTTGAATTTTTATTCAATATACTGTAGCAAGAACTTTTTTAAAAATGACATTAAGTGCTGTCATTTTAAAAATTCAGAAGTTAAATTCAAATGTCCACTTACTCTAGGCAAATGACACTTCATACTTCTTAATCCCTTCATCCAAGCACTAGGAAAAAATTTCCCAGAAAGAAATAGTCAGTCTGTAACATTACAGACTTTGAAACTCCTCTGAAATCACCAAGAAGGGCCCCAGGCTTTGGGCATGTTTGGTTCTGGAGAGGGACAGTCAGAGCTCTAACAATTTTGATAAAGTGTCTCACAAAAGACTTCAGGAAAGTTTATTTTCAGCCCTAAATACCTTGAAGTTTGAGAGCTTTTCATTTCAGAATGCTCTATCCCAATTCTTTCCTTGACTGTAACACTTTTTAAAAAAAAAATAATAAACTGGTGAAATACTAAATATCTCTTTGGCTTTTGGCTGCTGTTTAAATGTCCCTGAGCCTCCCCTGGGAGTGAGAGACTCGGGCTCTTACAGGGAGCACCACCTCGGTGGCACCTGTGCCCCTGAGCCCCGGCCTGGCCATGGCAGCAGCATTAAGGAATCCCAGCACTCTTGCCTGCTGAGCACAGACTGGGCCTCAGAAACACTCTCAGCATAGTGCTCCAGGAACCACTACTTAGTGCTCCCAGATGTCCACATCTCCCTGGTTTGCGTGATCCCTGAGGAGCTTCTCAGCACTAGCATGTATAGTTGTAAGGATGAGGCACAGAAGAACTGCTGGTTCACAGTTTGAAGACAAAAGGAAGTAGTACCAGTAAATAGAATAGTTTGAAAATGGGTGTTCTCCTCAACTTTGATTCTGGATACTTAAAATGAGTCAACTCTGTCTACATCAGGAACCCAAAACTGGAGCCTCTTGCTGGTGTCAGTCTTTTAGACATCTCTGTGTGAGTTTGTTTCCCTGTTTTCTCCTTAGCCACACTGTGTCCTCAGCTGGTTCCTCACACTCCACCCGCCCTCCTACCATCTACTACTCCTCATGTTCCTTCTCTTCCCAGAAAAAGAGAGAGAAAGGGAGCAGGGAGGAGAAGATGGGAGCACCACTGTTTTTTCCCAAGATGTGAACCCCATTTACAAGCATGCTCTGCTTTCCCCAAATGGGTTTCCATCCCTCTCCCCCGCTTCCCTCAGTATAATTGCAACCCGTAAGAAATGCTCCACACAATGGTAGAGAGAAAACAAACTAATACAATCTGACACTGCAGAATTGTGAATTTTCATCCTCAGTGATATAAACTCAAGAGCCTTTCCCATTCTTCCCTGAATACATGCTTTCTTATGTGACCCTCTGTCTTCCCAACTCCTCTTGTCTCCAAAATAATAAGAAATGGAAAGAAATAGAAAACAGGGAAACCCACTCACCTGCTTATAGAAGAATTATCTACATACCTTTAAAACC